TTTATCCAGTGCAACTGTTGGAAAGGAGGATAAGGCTAGGCAATCTAGAGACAAAAAGGTCACTGGCTCATCCATGGTATTGCTTTATTCTTAAGCATGCTAATAGTTCTTCTGACCTGAAATCCTTCTTCTGAAACAGACACCTGGTCAAGCACCAGCTAACAGAGAAGATAATAATAATATAGAGGCTCTAGAACCAGATCCTGCTGGCTTCAAGGAACAGGTGATTATTTGTTTCAAAATCAAAGAAGTCATTGCTTGAATGCTTTGTGCATATTATAGATTTCACTTCTAATCTACAATGGAGTTAAAAATATCATATTGGTTGGAGTGAAAATTTTAGGATGAGTTAAGGTTATTTAAAAAAATGGTGTCATGGGTATAACCTAAACCTAGTGGTGTCATTTCTTGAATAAAAGAAAATTGCCAAAGTATACGCCAATGAGACTGCAACCATGTCAAAACAAACCTAAGCAATCTTTGGCCCATCTTCTGCCACTGTGATTGGTGTACGCATATTATTGTTGCCCAAAAGTATGGTCTGACAATGTGTCACAATTACAGAGGTTGAATGTTTTTCTAATAGGATAGGCTTATTTAAGTTTTCAATTACCCCTCGCTTCCTGTTGCATATATGCCTTATATTTATATTTGACTTTTTCGTTCTCCTCATCTATCATCCACAAGCAAATTTGCTTATGCACCAACGTGTGAAAGTGCTGATGCAAGTATTCCTTCCTGCACTAGTCATATTGTTTTTAGTTTAATCATTTATCTTCTCTCTGGCTCTCTCTCTTTCCTTTTTGATGTGCCCTCTGTCTCCCCCATCCTGCCCTTCCTCATTTCTCCTGCATGACTAGGAAACGTGGGAATATTATGTAATTCTTATTTGTTAATTTTCTTTCGAAAAATTGTGTAGGTTTCCATGCTGTTTTCAGAATGGTACCAGATATGTGAGCATCCAGCTGCAAATGATGAACCTTGTAATCATTACATTGTACAATTGCATCAAAATGGACTGCTTAAAGGGGATGACATGACAGAACGCTTTTTCTGCATTATCACGGTGAATCTCTCCCTCCCTCCCCTTTTGTTATATATAAATTCACAAGAGAGCTCAGGAGATCGAACTCATTTTTTGTTTTTACTTCATATAGGAACTTTCTGTTGCGCATTGCCTATCTTCTGAGGTCATGATTCCCAGCACATTGCAATCACCTCAGCAAGTGCAGACTATTTCTTTCCTTGCTATTGATATTTATGCAAAACTTGTGCTGTCAATTCTTAAGGTCTCATTTCATCCTTTGTTCATTTTATCAATATGATCTACTTCTCATTTTAAACCTAATCTTGCAAAATGCTTGGACTTTTTTTTTTTTTTTGGGAAATTTCTTTAGTATTGCCCAGTGGAACAGGGATCAAGTAAACTCTTTCTTATGTCCAAGGTGAATATCATTTACCCTTCATTTTGCATGTCTTTTTATTTTGTTTTCCAAGAATATTTAATGATATTTATGGTGCTTAGCAGCTTTTGATCGTGACTGTGAGATTTATTCAAAAAGATGCAGAGGATAAGAAAACATCTTTTAATCCAAGACCATATTTCAGATTATTCATCAACTGGCTGTTAGATCTTGGTTCCTTGGACCCTATTGCTGATGGTGCAAGTTTTCAGGTATGATTCATTTGCATATGCCCATTGACATTGCTGCCAGTGAATAACTAATCTTCATTGTGTTTGTTGCAGATTTTGACAGCCTTTGCCAATGCATTTCATGCTCTGCAGCCCCTTAAAGTTCCTGCCTTCAGGTAAGAACTGTGAGTTTGTTGGGTTTTGAACCTATGTAGGAATTGCTTTTAGATTGTGCTGTCTCCTCTTGAAAAGCATAATTTATGATGCAATTTTGAGTCTTGAGTAAAAAATTTTCCTTGCAAAGGATTGGTTTATTTTGGATCATATTCTTATTATCTTGATTTAAGTCCTGAGTGGGCACTTGTAATAAGTTGCCTTACCTTATACTAGAGTTTATGATAAATGGCATTTTGGGTTAAATTACCTGGTATCTATGTTTTGCAGCCATAAAAGGGCTGCTGTAACACACTTAAATGAGTGCTTATGTGGTACTGTTTTATTTCTCTTGCATCATCCAGTGTAACAAAACTATCTAATGTCCAAGAACCGAATCACCTGGATACTTTTATTCTCTTTCCTAGCTTTTTATTAATGTTTTAAGGAGTAGACATTGCATCCAGTAGAAAGAAGTTGGAAGAGCGATAACTGGTTGTTGAGCATCATATCTTGGCATGCACATTTACTACCTGGAAGGTGCAATTCATAAGTCCTATTTATTCTACTTATGTTCATTGTTAGCTGTGCTGTTATAGCTTTGCATGGCTAGAGCTGGTCAGTCACAGGAGTTTCATGCTGAAATTGCTCACTGGGAATACTCAGAAGGGTTGGCCCTATATCCAACGCTTGCTGGTGGACTTGCTTCAGTTCTTGGAGCCGTTTTTGAGGAATGCTGAGCTTGGAGTGCCGGTTTGCCTCTTTCTAATGACTGATTTTATTATTTGTTTCCATTGTAAATGGTCCCACTTATTCTTTCTTGTGTTATCCATATAGGTTCATTTTCTATATAAAGGCACACTAAGGGTACTGCTGGTTCTGCTTCATGACTTTCCTGAGTTCCTATGTGATTATCATTTCACCTTCTGTGATATGATTCCTCCGAGCTGCATACAGATGAGGAATATTATCCTTAGTGCATTTCCACGCAATATGAGGCTACCAGATCCATCTACTCCGAACTTGAAGGTGTCAATCGATCATGCTTGATCTTTTTTTTCAGATTGTTTAGTCATGAAATTAATTCTTTAATCACTTGGCATGCAGATTGATTTGCTTCCAGAAATCAGAGAACCCCCTCGAATCCTCTCCGAAGTTGCTTCTGCTCTTAAAGCAAAACAGATGAAGGCTGATGTAGATGAGTATCTCAAGGTACTCAAATTCACTCTTAATTGTGTGTTGGACTTTATGAATTGTGTTGTTTCTTTCTCATCTGTAAAATTTTCGGTCCTCTTCATTGTTTACTTCAACCGACTTTTCTCATCTAACATTTTCAGATGTGAAAATTGGTGTTTCTTGCATTACTTTTCACCGAAATTTTTTTGTTCTTGTCAATGATCCTTGTATGTAACCTTCTTAAATTATTTGCTCAAAATTGTCTGAAAATTTATCTGCAGACGAGGCCACAAGGATCATCATTTCTAACTGAACTAAAACGAAGACTGCTTCTTTCACCAAGTGAGGCAGCATCTGCTGGTACGCGTTATAGTGTACCATTAATCAACTCGCTAGTGCTTTATGTCGGAATGCAGGTATTCTACACTTTCTTCTTCTACTTTTCTAGATGTTGTCTTTCACAATTTTTAGTCTGATGGACACTTTTTCTCTTCTTCTGTTAACGAGAATAAGGTTTTCTTTATGTTTAATGAATTCCTGTGGCAAATTGCTTTCAGGCCATTCAGCAACTGCAGTCAAGAGTACCTCATGCACAGTCAACAGCAAACACTGTTCCAATGACCGTGTTCTTGGTTAGTGCTGCCTTGGATATATTCCTGAATCTAATAGGGGACCTAGATACCGAGGGTCGTTATCTTTTTCTTAATGCAATTGCTAACCAATTGCGGTATCCCAACAACCATACACATTACTTCTCCTTCATCTTACTATACTTATTTGCCGAAGCAAATCAGGTGAGAATTTCATTTTGATGGTACTCACATTATTATCCATTGCATTTCCGCTGCTCATTTCAAGATCGACGAGAATGCACTGTTGCTTTTTACAGGAAATCATCCAAGAGCAAATTACAAGAGTTATGTTGGAAAGGCTAATTGTTAACAAACCTCATCCATGGGGTCTACTCATTACCTTCATTGAGCTCATAAAGGTAAAATTAGTTTTCAATGTTACCTTAATTTTTTTAGTTCTCGGGTCGCGGATATGCCTTTGAGGTTGTTCATATTTATATTTCAGAACCCAAGATACAACTTCTGGAATAGATCATTCATAAGGTGTGCACCTGAGATTGAAAAGCTCTTCAAAACTGTTGCGAGATCATGCGGCGACCTGAAACCTGTGAACGACAGCATGGTTTCTGGTTGGGTATCGGACAACGCACACTGAGTGAATTTTTTGGTTTTTTTGGGTTACCATCGGGGTTCGATCTTAGAAATCTTCAGCTCTGGAGCTAGTTCGAACTCGAAACCTTTAGCCTTGGAGCCGAGTCCCAGGCCACTCAGTATGTTTTAATGTATCATGTAATGGAGCTCTAATTTTAAAATCTCCATTTGTAGTCTGTAATTTATTGTTTTTTGTCCTTGAATTCTGTATCAGACCAGTTAAAACTTACTCGAGATTACTGCTGTTCTATTTTGTTATTTGTAAATGCCCGTGACTGGAAGTGCATCGTAGAAAGCGGTTGATTATTCTATGTACAAAATGTTAATTAACACCCCCCGTTGGCTCTTCCAAGGATGTGATGTAATTAGAAGTGTTTATAATTTGATTTCAATCGAATTAATTTATTAAATTAAATTAATTTAATTAATCAATAGATTATCGAATAAAATTTTATTGAATTTGAAAAGAATGATTAATTCAGTTTAAAAATTAAATTAATTAAAATATAATAAAATTTTAAAAAATATAAATATATAAAAGGAATCATATTGTTTTAAAAAATAATATGATATTTTGATATTTGAATATTTTATTAAATAATTTTATTTCATTTAAAACATAAAAAATTTAAAATTTAATTTAATTGAAATATTTGCCATGAAATTATGAGAAAAAATTAATCAAATTAAATTTTAATTTTAAAAATTAATAAATTGAATTTGATTAATAAAAATAATTTAATTTAATTTATTTAATTTAAAATAATTTAAAATTAATCAAACCATTTGAATAAACACCCTAAATATAATGACATAAATAAAAAATTTATAACCTGATTTTTAAAAGTAAAAGATAATACTCAACTTCGATTTAATCCATTGAATACAAATTATTTTGCGTCGTATCCATTATCAAGCAAAATTGAAAATCACGACATTGAACATATTTTGCTACAGTTATTACACATTATGAAGCCTTCCCCTAGTCCCTACGAACAAAGTACAGCTTGCCCATGACATGGAGAACGGCAACAAAAGCAATGAAACCAATGCTCATGACAAGCACAACATTTGGAGAGATCTTGAGTCCTGGAGCATCATCTGTGTAAAACTGAAGCATATTCCCTGCAACCCCTCCTGAGCCACCACCCGCAACGCTTGTCATTCTCCTCCTCCGCATGCTTGCAGCTGCCGCTGCGCTTCCTCTTGGTGGTGCGGTTCCAGCTGCCATTTCTGTAACACCCCACCAAGGCTCACAACTTCAATTCTCAATTATACATAAACACATATCACTTCATTGAAATAAAAGAAATATATACATTTATCACAGTTTCTTCCACCGAAAAATGGCTGCCATGCAACAATATGAGCTATACAGTAAACAACCGAGAAAGAATTATATGAAACAGTTAAACCACATCGGTATATATTCTTTCCATTCAAATCATACCACATAATCATATTATTAGAAAAAACAACTATTTATTATAAAATAAGTAATTAATCTATAAAAAAAAAATTCATCATTGAATTATCTCAGGTAATGAGTAATAAATGGTTGGCTTTTTCTAACGACGACAACAACAACAACTAATCCTTATATACCATAACTTTGGAGTCGTTGTATAAAACATTAAAAAAAAAATTTTGTTAGGTCGTAGTTCTGAATATTCTTACGTCACTCATTGCTATCAATGTCAACCTTTTTCATTTACTTCTTTAATTTTTTTATTATTTCTTATTATTTGTATCTATATTTTTTGTGATTTATCTTTAAAAATTTTGGTTTTTCTTAAATTTAGAAGCTCATTTCTCCTAATTGGTACATAAATAAGCCTAAGTTTCACATATTCAAACCACTTCAAACAGCCCTCTTTTCATATTTTCCTCAATTTAAACTACCTCTAATTTTTCTTTCACTTTTTATTTTGTCTCTTCTAGACTATTTTCAAAATGTGATTAAATGATATAATTTGAATGAAATAGATACATGATGACGTAACATAACTGTTTCATACAATTATTTTTTGTACACAACTTACAAGGTAAAACTTATACAATTTCCTAAAGGGAATTTTTTTTTTTTTTGGAGAAATCAAATTTCTGAATAGAATTACAGATAATTGTATGGAAGAAAAGAAAATTAAGCCAGAAGGGATACATACAGACAAGTTCAGAGAGGTGGCTGAGATAACCAAAGTTCAAAAAGCTCCATTATTATCAATACAATCAGCATAATCTGTGTTCATATAATCCTACAGAAGGTTTACATAATATAATAACCAATTCAAAAGCATCAAAACTTTGTACGAAATCTTTATGCTATCAGCCAATTGAATTATTCTAATTGAATCATCCAAAAGGATCCCACCCACAAGAATTTGAAATTCGATTAAATTACAATCAAATTCAATTAGACGTGCAATCGAGCCAAATTGATACAATGAAAAATTTAAACTCAACTCAAAATTTATTGTTAGAACTCAATCAAATTTTAAATTTTAAGTTGAATTCAATTCGAAATAAAAATCAATCAACTCGATTTCACTCAATTAAATTTATTTATCAAATAAAAAAGCAAGTTCAATTTTTATGTTCGACTTCAAATTTAATTATTTGTATTCAAGTTTAAACTTGAATTTAAATTCATATATATAAATATATATATATAAAAATATAAAATAATAATTTTTTAATTAAAATAATAAAATATAAAAATTTGATTAAATTCAAAACTACTTAAGCCAAATATTAAAAAGCCCAAACTTGGCTAATTCAATAAGTCAGTTTGACTCGACAACAATTAAGCCTAATTTATTCAAGCCAATTCCGAATAACTTGTGGATAATGATGCATCATTTACCCTCCTATTTAAAATGATCACGCATGCACTAAATCCTATTTAATTATCATATACAAAGACTTTTGAAAACCCTAAACTTGAATATTTTAAGAAGCAACAGATCAAACGATGTAAAAAACCAGATTTAAATTCAAGAAATCAAATGCAGATTTAAATTCAAGAAATCAAATGGGTCGTTGATAGGATCGCAACATTTAAAATCCAAAGGAAGGTAAAAAGAGAGACATGGAGAAGAAGAAGAAAATCGCCTGAGTCGACTCGGAATTCAGATCGTGAGTTCGCAAGCTTTTGAAGACGCCTGTTTAATAATATCTTCGACTAGTTCCGCTTTCAGTTTCAAGATATATATATAAAGCAGTCTCTGCTTTAGATACATATAAAGCAGAACTGCTGGGCAGTTTCTCGCAGCACTGACCAATAGAGTTTGGCCACGTCATAATTTAGAATCCCAAACCAAGCTTGCCTGTAGGCCTTTTGTCCAATGCCTACGACTCTTTGGCCCAGACTTTGTGGGCTAACTTGGCCCAATTTGCGTTTTATTTTTTACTTTTTTTTTAATTTGAAAATAATAAATGCAAAAATCAATGTAAAAAATGCATGAATATTAATCATAATGATTTATATATCTTCTGAAAAAGTCCTTTTAGTGGAATTTTTTAACTTGAGACTGAAATACTAACATATGATTATTTTTTTAATTTTTATTTTTATTTTTTATATACATTAAAAAATATATGTCATTCTTTTAATCATGTTTGTAAAATATAAAAAATTTTATTGATAATGAATGAAATAAATTTTTTAAAAAATGGATATTTGCCGGTAATCAAATACCTCTTTTCCACACCACTATCTGACGACGAATGCTGAAAAAGTAATAAATTATTGCAATCAACTACAATGCAATATACAACGTGAGATACCAACAACTCTCGAAAGGTAAAATAAAATTAAGATGTGATTGAGGATGTAATCGAACCGAATTGAGTCGATATAGTGAGAAGTTTGAGTTTGAATTTAATTTTTAATTCGTAGTTCGATATTCGATTCGAACTTGATCGAATTTTATTTTTTTAACTCAAGCTCGATTCGTAATCAAAATCGAACTACTCGAACTTATTCGATTAAGCTCAATTAATAAATAAAAATAAGTTTGATTTATATACTCAACAAAAATTTGATTATTTATGCTCGAGCTTAAATTCGAATTTGATATATTTTAATTCGAATTCGATATATTTTATTAATTAAAATAATAAAAATATATGTAAATATAAAAATTCGATTAGGTTCGTGAGCTATTCGAGTCGAATATAAGAATACGCGAATTCGATTTAATCGATGAATTTAACTACTTGAGCTCGAGCTTGACTCGATAAGAATAAAATCGAATTCAAATTTTATTCGAATAAAATCCGAATAGCTTACGGATACTAATGTATCATTTACACACTTAGATGTGATCAAAGAACTTCAAAATTATAAATAATTAACAGTTGTTTAATATTCTAAAACAATCATTTTGTCATAGAAAATTTAAAAAAAAAAAAAGAAGGTTTTTGAGTATGGTTTTTGGATTAAAGTTTTAAAAAATTTTGTAAAATTGATCCATTTAAAGAGAATTAATGGGCTGGGAATTTAAAACCAAAGTTTTTAAAAAATAGATTGCTTTATTTATGAGTAATGCCCTGAATTTTTTACATTCATTTTTTGTATTTAAAAATTTAGATTAAATCCAAAAGTTAATTAAATAATTACAAGCCTTTTTTTGGTTATTTAATTTTGTTTACATGAATTAAATTTATCAATTAATTTTTTAATAAAAGGGTAAGAATAAAAACTAAATATAATAATTTATTAAATAAATTAAATGATAAAAAACTATTTAGAAAAACTCTTTTTTGTTAAAAGAATTTGATAACATACAAATTAATATATTTTTATACCATAAATAAAAATATATGTTAAGATATAAAATAAAATAGAAATATTTTTTTAAAATGCATATAAAATAAATTTTTAATGCATTTTTATTATGTAATTTATAAATAAATAATTGTTATATATAATATTCATAATTGACAAAATATGATTATACCAATATCAATACATATATTTAAATATATAAAATAAAAAATTATTAAATAAATTTAATTTAATATAATTTAATTAAAAATCATATTTTAAAATTTATTAAATAAAATATTTATAAATATTTTTAAGAAACCGCTCGACGAAGTGAGAGCATCAATCTATCACAAGTAAAAAATGTCACAAAAAATTGAAAGTAAAATATAAATGAGAATATTCTCATAATGCAATGCATAAAAAAATGTTAAAGGATCAAAGCCAACATTAGTAGTTGAACCAATCCCAATTTGCGGCCATAGAGATTAATCCTTCAAATCAAAATAAAATGTACTGTATTTGATAATTTAAAATAGATTGTGCATTCGATATGATCCCAACAAATAATCATCGATAAAACTCGAACCCAAAACTTTTTTATCGAAAATAACAAATTTTAACAGATTGAACTAATCATCTGTTGATGAAATTTACCTTACTGTTAGCTTCATTAACCACATTTTGCATACCTTAAATAGCATCTGCGATGCGGTATAGCAACAATGCCGCCCTCCACCATTGTTTCTCATGACAATAAAAGATGTGAATTGTCATTCGTACAAATAATAATGTATCGCATTTGCAAATAATGGTATAAGAAAAGATTGGAATCATAATGAGACACTAAAATTATTATTTGTTCTTTTTTTAAATATATCTATGAATTTTATAGCATATTGATTATGTGTTATAGCTAAATATGTGAAAAAAATTATTTTTACCTATAAATATAAAACAAAAATATCATAAATCACTTTAAATATCATCAATAAATATTATTATATCAAATTATTATTTTGCTTGATTTTATAGTAAAATGTGAACATTTTGAAAAAATTCATGACTAAGATAACTATAATTATTACTATTTTTTTCGTTATGTCCACAACTGTGATAAAATGAAACATAACTAAAAACATAACCATGACTGCATTTTAAATCCCTAGTTGAGATTGATTTTGTAAGGAAAAGTTCTACTTTGTCAGCTTGACTATCATCTATATGATCAAGCCCTACAGCAAAACATCCTTTAACCTTCTTGTGATTGGTTCTATGTCACCACAAGAAAATAAAATATTAGTGACAGTTTTATAATTGCGTTTCACTTACGAACACCATTAACTTTTGTGTTTTTATAAAATTTAAAGTTTTTTTTTATCAAAACGTCATTAAATATTTAAATAACAGTATTTTTACTTATAAACGTCACCCGAGACAAAAATTAGTGGTACTTATCGACTAAAACGCTTTGAATAATTTTCTTTAAAAATTTGGAGTGATTATTGAAGGCATTTTTGACAAAAAAACACATTGAATAATTTCGTTATAAAAATAGATAGGGGATTACTGAAGACATGTTTTTGTAAACAACACCTTGAATAATTCATTCACAAAGAAATATAGGTGGTTATTGAAGATATTTTATACAATAAACACCTTTAATAATTTCGCTAAAAAATTGGAGAGAAATATTGAAAGCGTTTATGATTAAAATTGCATTCAATAAATATCCTATCAAATTTTAAGGATCATATGATTATTAACCATAAGGTTATAGGTTCGATCATGTTTTTAATGTTTTTTGGGTTTTTGAAATGATTATTTATAAGGGATTATTCAAGGTTTTTTTTTGCCAAAAACACCTTCAATAATCCATTTAAAAAATTTTGAAGAAAGATTATTAAATGTATTTTTAACAAAAAAATACCTTCAATAATTCATAAAAAAAATTTGAAATGAATTGTTGAATGTGATGTTAGATTCTTGAAAGCGTTTTTGATCGAAAGTGCCTTCAATAATGTACTTAATAAAATTTTATGAGGGATTATTAAAAGTGATTTTGATAAAAAATGCTTTCAATTAATCCATACAAAAAATTTGAAATGGATTCTTGAAGGTGTTTTTAGTCCAAAATATCATTAATAATTCACTCAATAAATTTTATAAGAGATTATTAAAAGCGTATTTAATAAAATGTCGCTGCAATTCAATATGCATCAACATCTTTGATAAGTATTATTTTGATGAAATTTTTTTTGTAAAAACCTTAGTTTTCGTATATTTTCAACTAAATTGATGAACAAAAATCTCAAAATCTTATTTGTAATGAATGAAATATAAAAAAGAAATTGTGATTTAAAAGTTAATTTGATGATTTTAGAATCAAATTTGGATTAAATTTGAATTGAAAGAAAGAGAATGATGAAGAGAGTGAAAAGACTATAAAGGAAGATGTGATGTTGCTAGAATGCAGTGTATTTAGAAAAAATTGAGAATTATATTTTAAATATGAGATATATTTAGTAATAGAATGTAAAGAGTAATTTTTTTTTTAGTGTAATAGAATTTCTTTAATTTTTAGAAGGTCCAAAAATAATTTCGGAGACAAAAAGACAATTATAGCCTTAAACTGAACCGCATGATAGTGTAAAATAGCGAACCGGAAACAGCTGCAGTCCAGTCCAAAGCAAGACCAACATCACTGTCCCAAGTTCTTGTGTTCACCATTCTCTCTCTCGCCGGAGACCAGAAACTCCACCACTTCTCCGAAACCTCTCCTGAAGCTGCCAATCACTTATATCTCCGGCGGCCCTGTCACGGATCCAATTATGATGAGCACCGGCGAGCTTCTCAGCATCGAGCCAGAAGAGCTCCAGTTTCCCTGTAAGCATCTTCCAAACCCTTTCCTTTTAAAAACATTTATAGCTTCGCGTTGCTTTCCAGATCCATATCTTCAGCTTTATAAGTTACATGTTCAAGTTTCAACTGTTTTCTAACAATTCTTAACATTTCTTGTTCCTGAATTAGTTGAATTGAGAAAGCAGATCTCTTGTTCTCTAAACTTGTCCAACAAGACCGACAATTATGTCGCTTTTAAGGTAATTATGTTAAGTCTTAAACCTTGTATGTCTGTTACTTCTTTTTACTGCAAAGATTTCTGGTAAAAACAAAGAAAGGAAACTTCTTGCGGGTAGGGATGTAATCCAGCCAAGCAGTGAGAAGCTCGAGCTCAAGCTCGAACCGAAGTTCGCTGCTCGAAACTTGGCTTGAGCTCGAACGAGTTTTAATTTTCAAGTTTGAGCTCGACTTAAGATAAAAATAGAGTCACTTGAGCTCACTCATTAGGTTCATTTAATAAAATGAGATCGATTCCCATACTTGATTTCAAGCTCGATTATGTCTTCGAATTTGAGTTCGAATTGATATATATATATATATATATATATAAGGGTAAAATAATTTTTTTAATTAAAATAATAAAAATATATTAAAATTTAAAATTTTGATTATGCTCACAAGTTATTCAAGCTGGACATTAGAATGCTTGAACTCGACTCACTCGATAAATCGAGCTGCTTGAGCTTGAGCTTGAGCTTGAACCGACTTGACAATGACTGAGCTGAATTCGAGTTTTATCCGAGTCCAAGTAGCTTGCAAGCATTGATGTATTGTTTACACCCATACTTGTGGGGTGAGAAAGGATTGTATGAAACAGTTATACCATATCAGCATATATCTCTTCCATTTAAATCATATCACATAATTACATTGTTAAAAAATCAATTATTTATTATTAAATAATTAAATAATTTGTTAAAATTAATATTTACCATTTAATTATCACATGTGATGTGTAATAAATAATTGACTTTTTATTAATGACATTTATGTGGCATGATTTGAATAGAAGAGATATATGCTAACATTGCGTAACTGTTTCATACAATCCTTTTTCCTTGTGGGGTAAATTTATTTTGGATTTTGTTGTAACCTTAGAAGAATTTGTGTGTATGTGTGTGTTTTTGCAGGTCAAAACGACAAATCCAAAGAAGTACTGTGTGAGGCCTAACACTGGAGTTGTGCTGCCTAGGTCTACATGCAACGTTATTGGTCTCTCTCCTTGTTCCTCTCTTGCACAAAATTTGGACATAGCTGTCATTATTATAGTTCATCATGGTTAATGTTTAGTTGTAGTATTCGTGTTGTGTTAATTTCATCGCAACCATTAGCTCTATTTTCGACATTATGATTACTTTTACCGGACTTATTGGTTTGTTTATGGAATCAGTTACAATGCAAGCTCAAAAGGAAGCACTGCCTGATATGCAATGCAAAGATAAGTTTTTACTTCAGAGTGTGGTTGCTAGTCCTGGAGCTACACCAAAGGATATAACTCCAGAGATGGTATTTATGGATATTCTATTGGATCTGATTTGAAAATTGGGTTTTTGTTTTCTAACTGTTTGATTTCGAATATGTTAGTTTAATAAGGAATCTGGGCATCATGTTGAAGAGTGCAAGTTGAGGGTTGTTTATGTCGCACCTCCTCAGCCTCCTTCCCCTGTCCGAGAAGGATCTCAGGAAGGCTCTTCACCTGGGGCTTCATTCTCAGACAATGGTAGCTTGAATGCTGCAGAATTTGCATCTGTGAGTATTTCTTGGCTTTGTTTTTGACATTGAATTGGGTTTTAGTGTTGATCATTATGGTCCATCCAAATATTAATGACTTGTGTTGTGGTTGTATGATTGTGCCTGCAGGAATCAAGACCACATGTTGAGCGGCATGAACGTCAAGATAACTCATCCGACGTAAGTCTCTCTCTCCCTCACTCTTATTGGTACTTTTTTAGCTCTGGCATTGGAATTTTATGGGCTCTTGTAAGGAATGTTGGCAGGTTCTATCTAAACTGATTAAGTGAATGCCATTCTTGATAGCAGTTCTTTTTACTTGCACATGTTGGCCTTTTTTTTTTTTTCCATAATTGGCATAATTTAGGAAAATGGTGTTTTCGTTTCCATAATTTTTCAAATTATACAAGTTGAAGAATGCATTGATGATACTGTTAATCATTCTTGTGTGATGTGTCTTTGGGTGGAAATTTTCTTGACTTGTGTCTATTTCCCAAATAGCCCATCATCAAGCATCGTTCAGCTGACTGTACTGATCATTATCATGTAGTTTCATCATTATTATGTAATATTTATGGGTTCCATTTCTTCACTTGGAAGAATATCTTCTGTTTAAGTTGGAGTCCACTCAGTTGTCAATATCTTCTTTGGAGATAGACTAGGTGTCATATAGTCGATTTTAATGAAAATTACTTAGCATCAGCCCGTGTTTGTGGGCCATACATACTGATATAAAGAGAGCAATTTTAATATACCCTTTGATGCTATAACAACACTTCTTTTCTTATTCACTCTCTGTACTGAGAGCGAGTTCCTAGTAATAAGTGAGTTATTTTCATGTTAAACTTCCTATAGTACGGCTGAACATGCATGTCTCTTGGATGGTGATATTACTGTGATTTTGCCGTATTCCATTTTAGTGATGCTGTTTAGATCTGTTCATTCGGATTTTAGGAGTGTAAAATTATGAACACCATCAACAAGGATATCAAAGGACTCGTCTTCTTTCTTTTGATACGGCGAAAAGTCTCCCCATATGCTGGATAATCCTGTTTGTCACTGAAATTCCTCATCTAGATGGTGGTTCTCACCACTATTACAACCCCAATAGGTGACATTGGATGATTTGAGCACTTGGATTGGATATAATCTCGTACTTGTTATTTCTATCCTGATGGCAATTAACGATCCCTTCTCATAGATTTATAAAAAAAATGTTTCTTACAATACTCCAGTGTTGGGGTACTGGATTCTGATGCTGGGTTACACTAATACCGTTAGAAGAAGTTTGTTCATTTAAGATGAATACTAATGCTGGGTACGCGTTCTGAAATTCAACTGTTGGCGTTGTCTTTTCAAATGCACTTGATGAGAGAAAAATGTATGGATCTAACATGACTGCTCTAAATATGGCATTATCGCCTTGTGAGATAATAAATGCTATATCTTTTATCATCACATTCGTGTTAGTGACTCTTTTACATGATTTAATATGATAATAATCTAATTGAAATATGTTAAAAAAATTATCATCTGTGTCGAATGAAAAGCGTTGAAAGATTGGCAAGCTATTCTAAAAATTTGCTAATATCCAAAAAGAAAAGCCTTAAACATTAATGCTTTGCTGTAGCATTGTTATTCTGAAAATTACTTTTAAATGCAGGCAAGGTCTCTCATTTCCAAGCTAACTGAGGAGAAAAACTCTGCCATTCAGCAAAATAACAAGCTTCAGCAAGAACTTGTAAGTGACTCCCTATTTTTTAAGAGTTTCTTGCAGTTTACTTTGGAATGAAATCTTAAAGTTAACGGAATTAATGACCAATTTCTAATATTTTAGCTATATAAATACATCATTCATCCGCCTGCAGTCACTGTCCGATCGTCAATAACAGAGAATGAAAATGAGCTTCTCCGGAGGGTTAGAGAGACTTTAAAATGAAATCGGATTTAAAAAAGAACAATAATAGAGAGAAAATGCTGTTTACTGTTTGTTATCTCGTATTCTTCAAAATCAATACAAGCTTTATTGCAGCCTTACATTGAAATTTAATTTGCAGGAACTCATGAGACGTGAAGCCAAAAGAAACCCAAGCGGTTTTGCATTCATATACGTATTTCTTGTTGCCTTGATCGGCATCATTTTGGGATACCTCTTGAAAAGAACATGACTGCCGCCAAGTACCCTTCTTCGTTCTTTTATGCAACTTCATGGCTGTAAAAATGAAATGTAGAAAACTGGAAAAACAAATGTTTGATTGACGAATGTATTGCTTACTGGTCTGAATGGTCACTAGAAAAAAACATGTCCAATATGTGACATGTAAGAAGCAATGTTTTTTCACTGTATTACCCTGCATCGACAGTTGATCTTTCAAGTGGGAATTACTGGATTTCATATTTGTGGCCAACTTTACCAACATTTGCAATGGCGTTTATCCTTTAAGTTTCACATGGACTTGTCTGTCTTATGTATGTCATCGAATAATGACAGATGACAATCCAAGAAAATGTGTTGAGCAAAATTGTCTGTCCATTTCTTCTTGTTCTTCATCTTTATGTCAATTTTTGTTTCTTTTGGTCCATATCACCCATGATAAGCCTCAAAATGGATTGTTCTTGACTAGGAGAGCCGGACAATACACTCCCAATTCCCAATCCTCCATACCCAAACCACATTTTTCCGTTCCAATATCTACGGACTGGCTGCTGTTGTTGTTGCTGTTGCCAGAGACAGCTGTTGTTTCCGCCATGCCAATGGTGCCCATGGAGGCACCGCCACCTCTGCCCGAGAGAGGAAGACAGTGTTGAGGAAGATGTTGGAGTACTTGGGCTTCTTCTAGTATCAAGAACAGATGTAGGCTCCCTGCCTACATAGTAGCAAACTTTGTCGTTTTGCCACTTTTCTTGTTGCTGTTGATGGTGATGCTGTTGGTTTTGGAGTAACAGTGAAGAACCAGAGAAACAAGAAGCAGAAGTTTCCATTAACTTGAGGCCATCTAATCATCAGGGAATCAATTCAGCTGTTCAACTTGAACAATCAATCATTTTACTATGTTTAACACAACATCAGGGCTACAATTTTTACACACTAAAAGCAAAGACCTAAAAGTCAAGAAAAAAAAAAAAAGAAAACAGCGGCCAATTTCTGCTTGATCCCAATTTTTTTAACAAGAGATGGTTCCAACTGCAGTTCTTCCTATGCTCTCTTAACAAGATAGCCGATTAGGACACCAACAAGACCAAATAGCAGCACAAGCCATAGAGAGAAGCCACCAGCATGACTTCTGCTAATTTCTTTTCTCATCAGTTCCTGCATAATGTGTGTTATGGCAAAGACATAATGAGCATGAAAGGTAACAACAATTGATACTCTCTGATGCATAAGATAATCAACACAAAGATATCTGCTACTATATGCTCATACCAGTTCTCGATGAAGCGTTTGATTTTGTTGCAAGGCAGAAGATTTCTCGTCTGTCGACTTCGAAATTGCAGACCATGCCTGGAGATAAAATTACTCTTAAAAACCAATGGTAGAAGAGAATGGCAAGTAGAATTAGAGGAGTTTATGGGTCGGGCTGAGTCGGGTTGGGTTCGAGTTGGATTTGTACTCGATATTAATAATTTATATATTTATTAAGATTCAGTTAAGTCTGAAATTTAAACTTCAAAATTTTTTCAAAACCATTTCAAATTAAAAGGAAAAAAATTATGAATTCATTAATTAAACTTAATTTATATAATAAAAAATAAAAAATTAAATTAAATTAAATTTAATAAGATATATATTATTTTTATTTTTAATTCATATATATATATATACACACACGTTAATTAATTTATATATAATTAACATATATATAAAAATAAAAAATTTATATATGAATTTGGGTTAAGTTCGGGTTTTAAATCTTTTGATTAAGAGTAGGCCCAAAATTTAAATAAATTTAAAAATTATCTCCGAACTCATTTAACCAATTTTAATTTTTTGTCCAAATCTTCTCAAACTAAGACCGGCCTTCAAGCTCGAGCAAATAGCTCAACCCTTAAACAGGTTTAAGTAAAAGTGTAGAACAACTATTAAAATCGTATCTAAAATGATGGATACGAAATAGGGAAATGTTAGCTAATAAGGCAATGAATCTAGTTTTTGTTATATGGGAAAGAGTTTGATGGCATCTCAACCATAAGGAGAAATAAAAACATTTAGAAACATAGCAACTGATAAGGTATGAACCAACAAAATGTCACAACTATTAATATGAAATGCCCATTCATAGTAAAAGTTTGATATATTGACAAAGCAACAGAGGGATGAAATACCTCTGAGGACTTCTCTTTAGTCTCCTCTGGAGATCTTGATACCTAAATTTTATATTAAGTTGAGCAACAGAAGAACATGAAGTATATCAGTAATGGCTAATGGCATTCTCCATTAATAGTTGGTATTCTTCCACCCAGAAACAACAGAAGACACTTACATCTTCGAATGATGAATTTTGATTCCCATTTTCATGTGCAGATTCTCTGGGAGGAGTCACCTCTTCAGATCCTTCAGGAACAGGTGAGGGGCGATTTGCAGGAATGTAAATGACCCGCAATTTGATTTCCTCCAGGACTCGACCATCCTCTTTGTTAAACTGCATTCCAATCATACCACTTAACATCTATGCAACCCAAAATAAACAACAGTGGCACAGCCATCATACCATTTCTTGGGTTATGTCTTTGTTGGTTGTACCATCTGGAGCAACAACACTTTGGATGAGGAACTTATCCCTGCACTGCTCAGGAGGTGCTTCCTTTTGAGCTTGCATGATAACTGCCATTGTTAATTTCATGTCAACAAACCATAAATGCCAACGAGTTTGCCACCACAGGGGTCAAAAGCATGAACAAGGATGATGAAAAACTCTCTTTAAAACCAATAAACATCAAAACATTTACCTGTGACATTGCATGTACTTCCAGGCAAGACAATGCCAGAGTTGGGACGGACACAATATTTCTTGGGATTGGTTGTTTTAACCTGTTAAGATTGTTGAAACGAAATTTCATATATCAGTTAAGCTCTCATTCTCAAGCCTAGACACAGAAAAAAACAGACAAACTTTAAATTACCTTAAAGGCAACATAATTTTCTGTCTTGTTGGCCAATTGCACAGAACATGAACTTTGCTTCCTCAATTCAACTTCCAAATTCCATCCCAAACATTCCATAAAAGATTATCAAAACATTTATATTGGCTTTCATTAATGTTTGAGTTGGTGACAGAATGGGTTGTGACCGTTCTTAAATAAGTAGACAGTAAAGCCATTGAAATTGATGAAATTGCCTTATAGCTGCTGAAACTGAATGCATTTGTGAAATGTGACAGGCTTTTTGGAGACTCGGGTAAATGTTCATACTTGCTCTTTATCCAGGTCAATGCTGGAGGAGCTGGAAGCAATGCTGGAAACTGGGTTTGTTGAAGAGTCAAGCAGGTTGATCTGCCTGAAGTAGCAGGAGTTGCAGAGGTTGTTTAGATGCCCGTGAAGTGTGTTTATGATCTTTGAAGTTTGCTTTTCTATCTGGTGAAAGTTTCATGATCTAAATAGCCCTGGAACTTCCAAATTATCTTCTAGTAGTAGCATGGTAGCATCTGTAGTTCTGTATGTATATGGAGAAGTCTGAAACTTTCTTCTTTGAGCTGTGCTTTCTGATCTATGTATATGGTGATGGTTGTCATTGATTCTTCGCATGCGCAGCCTGGTCACGACTAGTTTCCAGTCTTGAACGATTGGGGCCAAGCCCAAGGTTCCAAGATTTTAGTTTTCAGCCATGAACAACTGATATACTCTTATATATTCATTGATGGTATTCCTGCTAGGAACAGATATCTGACTGATGTCTAACATTTATCAGCCATGACCCATGCTTATAGCAGTTAAGCAAATTAATTATTATTCTTCTAATGGCCTTGTCTACTCTTGAATAATTTCCTTTCAGTTTTTTGTATGGCCAAACCTGAATATGTACTCACACAAATGATTAGTGGCGGCCAGGTACCGTTATTAGGTCTACGGTTCAAATTTTAGCACCTGGAACTCCTTTTTCTATTTTCATGCTACCGCTTTTTTTGTAAAAAAATAATATAGGAAAAAAAGAGGGTGACAAAGTGGCAGGTCAGCAGGCAAGGGCCTTCAGTTAACTTGTAGAATTGGGCTCTACAATTCACAGGGAGTCAAAAGTGTGAGATGGTGAATGCATATATCAGACTTTGGCAGCCTTACTGTAATTTGTGGACCCATTTAAGATTGTGTGAATGAAAAGAAAATCTGACTTCTCTCTTTATTTCTTTTCCTGTCAGAGATTTTGGACAATCAACAGCACCGAGCAAAGGCATTACAAGCTAGCAACAAAGAGCAAGAGCAGCATCATGGTCCCCCCAATTTTCTTATGCTAAAAAACCAATAGCCATGACACAGCAATTTTTGCTGCTTTAACTGCAAATCTCGGCTTGCTTCAAAGCTATTTTAAAGGCTCTACAACTTGTATTCATGTGCAGACATGATAAAAAGCCAACAAATCCAGATACGTGGCAGGAGGATCAATAAATGCCAAACCCTTCAGTTTCCAGTATCGTATTTCTAATTTCCCCAACAAATCCTGATAGAAATTTCTTTTTCTTTTTCTTATCAACAGGTTTTTTTTTTTTATATATGTAAAGTTGGCAGAATTTGAATCCTAATTATTTATCATTAAAATTAAAAATTTAATATTTTATTAACAGATTACAAATTGTTGATCTTACCAACAGGTTGAATTATCTGTTATAAATCCCAGTTCATCACGTTCTCTTTTTTTTTTTAAGCAAAATATACAAATAGTAGTATTATTGAGATTCAATAACATGAGTTTAAAATTATTTATATAGGTAATAGGATGATTTTCCTTTTTTTTTTTTTGAATTCAAAATTTAATCCAAAAACATTTAGATATCTATCAAATTTAAAGTTTAAATCACAATTAAGCTAAGAGAAAATAATAACTTTGCTACTGCCAATTTAGTTTAAAACATTTTAACATAAACTCGAAATTCTGAGCTCCACAACAGCTCGACCATCTGCTAACACATACAAATATTAACTTATCGTTTCTTGATTGAATCGTTAACTGTCAGCTTAGTTTGAATTTATGATGTCAGTCATAGCCATCCAACACCAGGCTTAGGCCACCTTGCCCATTTTATTTACTTTTACAATAACTGAAATACCTACTTTCTTGTATTTTGCCTTTTTTTTTTTTTTTTTTTACTTTTTGATTGAATATTAATTTGAATATCAAAACACAAACACCAAAACAACTGATTTCCAGCCTTTGTCGATAACCGATCGCCATTCTTGGGCCTTCAAATTCTTACCCCGTGCAAATAGTTTGGCACAAACAATTACCAGCAATCCAATGGTGAAAATCAGTTTCATGGTCCCCCTGTTTCATGGTTTTGACCAAGCTTTAGCATTTGTCTATAACTGTAAAGCACCTGAGTGGCTACAGTTGAACCATACAGCACTCAAGTCTGAATCCCCATGTTTAATGGGGAACAAAGCTGATCTTTCTTTTGGACTAGAGAGTTTCAAGTTTCAACCTATCAGGCTGATTTAGCTCCACCTTTGACTTCAGAACAAACCCTAACCTACTTCCCAATCATGGTGCAAAATTTCCACCAAACAAATATGCCTTTCTTTCTTGTCAACTAGTTACTTTGAGAAATCCCAACCTTGTAAAAGCCTTTTCTGGATGTTTCTTTGCTAGAGTTACACCAAGTACCAACTATTGGAAGATTCTCTTTCTCTATGTTTACACTAAAAGAGTTGTTGAAACTTCATTTTTTTTTTCCTTCTCCTTCAAACCCATGCTTTCTCATTATAAAATTTTTTTTATACAGTAGATTGTAACAAAGGAATAAATACGAGTGACAACAATTCAGATTTGTTTTGATTTTTTGAATATTATATAATATTATAAATTTTAAAAATATAATTCAATCTAAATAAATTTTTTATACGATTTGATTTAAACTTTCGTTCGATTTAGTTAGTTTTATAGGCTTTTAAATTTTAAATTTTTATATATTATTTTAATATAAAATTTTGATATATTTAAATAAATTGATATAAAATTATTATTATTTTTATTTTATAAAAATTTAAAAAATATATAAAAACTAACAAAAATATATAATTCAATTTTTTTCGATTTTTCACCTCTCAATCCAAAATTCAATCAAAATCATATATATATATATATTTAATATTCGAATTTAATCCAAATTGAGTAAGAAAAAAATCGATTCAGATTGAATACTATGGTTTGGATCCCATTTTTGGTTTTTTATTTTTATTTTTTTCTCACCTGTAAGAATAAAAAAAGAGATTATAAGTATTTGAATTTAAATTTCAAAACTGTTTAATAATATTTCTTAAAAATTGATTGCATAAATTAACTAAATTAAGTTTTGGGTTAAATTATCTTTTTCGTATTAAACGGTAGTATATTCCCTCTCCAAATCAATCTAAATAAGTTTATCAAAATCAAGTCTAACAAATTCATAGAAATTTTCTTTCTCATAATTTTTCTAACAGATTCGGATCTAAATAATGAAAAAAAGAATAAGATTATATTAGCTTACAATGTTGTTAACTTTATTAATTATGCTTAGGGTTTTTATGCTTTGAGATTATTGATATTAATAAAGGGTTGCTTTGACATTATGATGAGGTGAGAGCCACTACAAAGTGTCGGTTAAAAGCTATCACAAAGGACTTTAAAAGATGCATAAAAGCTAGCTGCTGATGCTCCCAAAATAAAATATCCTCAGGTTTTAGAAAGCTTGAAAGACATGTAAAGTTACTTTGAAGCACGGATTAATTATAGCATTCATCAACAATGAAATTAGATTCTCATTTGATCATTTTTGCAATGACAAATCAAATTCATTAGTATTGATGCATTTGATTCTACAATTTGAAAATAGAAAAAGAGATTATAAATATTGAAAAAAAAATTTTTATTCGGTGCAATGTTGGTGTAATGACACCGGCTCTCCTAAATTAGGGCCATCGATAGTCTTTTTCTACTTTGTTGGTGATTGCAAAATTGAATTAGGGACAAAAAGTTGAATTATACATTTCCTTACATGAATAACATTTTTTTTGTCTAGTCTAATAAGATTGAAGATTCGATCGGTTCAATCAATTTGATTGTAAAAATTTAAAAATCGATTAAATCGATCTCATCTATTAAAAAAATTGAACTTACCTATTTATAAGTTAAAAACAAAATTAATCAAATTGACATAAATTGTTTAGTTTGAGTCGATTTTCTCCATTTTTCGATTTTAAATGTATTTCAAAAAAATATATTATAATTGTTTAACATTGAATGTTCACAATTACATATTTTAAAAGCAAAAAAAGCTTCAGTGTCTTTAAAGCTAATTAATAATATAATAAAACTAATTAAAATTTTAAATTAATACTATACAAGAGAGATCTTCAAAACTAATTAAAGATGTAAAACAACTAACAACAAATCTCAATAACCAATTTATTCTTCAAACATATACAAAAATTATTTACAGATATCATCATCACCAATTAAAAGAGGAAAAAAAACCTATTTATTGTTTTGTTCACAGGGAAATAGACAAGCCCAATCGACCTTGAGCCATGGTGGACTTCTGGTGAAGCCTTGGAGGTATATTGAGGTGTCGATCATGTGGTGGCCTAGTGGTCGTCGACGATGATCATGTTGAACTTGGTTAAATAGCTATTCAGTTTTAAAACTCGAAAGTGAAAGGGCAAAAAAGGGTGAAAGGATGGTGAAGACAGTTAGAGGGAAAGAAGGGTGTGAGAAGAGCTAGAGAGGCCAAAAGGTAGAGGGGTGAAGAGTGTTTGTAACGTCTCAAATCTCACATCGAAAGAATATGTGAATAAAAAATAATTTATATATAAAAATTTAAATTTATGAGATATTTTTTATGAAGTAAAATTATGAGTTTTTAAAATCAAAACGAAAATACCTCATAAATTAGATACGAATCTTCATAAATGATATCAAAACGATTATCAATCGACGACTATGAGAATTACTAAGTACTACACGGTGAGATCGCGAGAGTCATTAAATGTTATACTATGATCTAGTGTGATATTGGTGCTAGAGTTAGATTCGGTTTGACAAGGAGATCAAACTTTAAATGTAAAAAAATTGTAATACCTTTAATCTCATATTGAAATAATATGTATATAAAAAATAATATATATGTAAATATTTAAATCTAAACTAGTGAGATATTTTTTATGAAATAAAATCATAAAATTTTTGAATTAAAATAAATAATATTTAATAAATTGAGTACGAATTTTTATAATATTAAAAAGAGACAAATTGGCAACGGAGGAGAAGGGGTGTGAGGAAAGTATGGAAAAGTTAAAAGAGTTTTGGAGGGCTAGGTTTACTAAAAAAGTGTAAGATCAAACTATAAAAGGTAAAACAAAAATATACAAAATAAATAAAATAATTTTTTTCGATCGGTTCAGTTCTGTAAATTTAACATCAAAATCAACCGAATTAATGATCTAACCAATTAACTAATTGAAATATTGATAAAAACCTAAATATCCGACTTGATTTACTCAAAACAATCAATTTTGATTGAATTTTTTTGTGTAAACCGATTTATGCTCTGCCTTATACTCTAGTATAAATCTAGAAGTGATTTCTTGATTTCCTAAAAAATCAACTCATTTATTCAACTTCAACCCAAAAAGAGATCTATTATAAATATGTATATTTAAAAAAAGTTTGAATTTAAATTATTTATTATCAAATTAAATTCGAATTTAAATTATTTGAATAATGAATTGATTTGAGTTTGAGTAATTTAATATTCAATTTGATATAAATCAAAATTTTTTTAATATATTTAAATAAATATTTAAAATTTTATTAAATTTAATCAATTTATCAAGTCGAGCTGATTCAATTAAATTACGTGTCAAATTCATATTAAAAATAAAATTCAATTGCACTTGAATGGAAAGTCCAGTAAGCCAAGCACAAATACATACCTTCCTTCCAAGGGAGGCATCCAAAGCACAATCGCAAAAGCAAAGCACCACTTATCTCTCCTATACAAAACACAGACAATTCTTTCCCTACCAGAAACAGGGAGAGCAAAAACAAGCAGAGAGAAAAGGAAAACAGAGTAAAACCCTTTCCTTTTTTGCCATTTCTGTTGCAAAAATGGATGGCTGTCCAGCTACAATAACACCTAAACCCCCACAAATCTCTGAAATGTTTCAAAAATTTGCCTTGGCTTTCAAGACCAAAACTTTCGAGTTCTTCACTGAGGATGACAACAACAACAACAACCATGTTTCAGACTCTGACGGATGTTCCCTCCTTGACTCCACCGAAGACTTCATCACTGACCAAAGAGTCGTCGTCATCAAGCCCGACCCACCTCCAAATTATTCTTCCTCGGTCAATAACAATTTCCAGAATAGAACCATCGATACCCAGATTGCCAAATCTCTGGTTTCTTCTGTTTTTGCTGCTGTTTCTTGCTTTGAAGCTTCATATCTTCAGTTACAAGCTTCGCACGTGCCGTTCGTGGAGGAAAGTGTGAAAGCAGTTGATAGAGCTTTGGTTTCTCATCTCCAAAGATTGTCTGATTTGAAGCGTTTTTACAGGGAATTTCGAAAGAATCCTAGTTTTGAAGCTGCGTTGTCTCTTGGGTCTTGCTTGGAAGCTCAAGTTCAAGAAAATCAAAGCAAGTTGAGAGCTTTGGAAACGGTTTCAAACCGTTTGCAAGAAGAGATTGATGAAAAAGACAATGAAGTTTCAACTTTGAGGAAGAAATTAGCTGAGACTCAATGGGCTAACACTAAATTATCCAAAAAATTGTCTGGTAATTTGATTTCAGCTTGTGATATTCTGTTAACCGTTAAGGTTTTTGATTCTGTTTTGCATGATGCTTTCAGAGCAACCCATAAGTTTAGTAAGATTTTGATTGATTTGATGAGAAAAGCTGGCTGGGATCTTGATTTGGTGGCGAATTTGGTTTATCCTGATATTGATTATTCTAAGAAAGGACACAATAGATTTGCTTTTTTGTCATATGTTTGCTTGGCGATGTTTCACGGTTTTGATTTTGAAGGGTTTGGTTTGAGTGAGAATGAACGTCTGTGTAATGGGAATAATGCTACTTGTTCATTGAAGCAATTACTTGAGCATGTATCTAGCAATCCCATGGAGTTGCTGAGAAGGAACCAAAATTCTGAATACTCAAGATTTTGTGAGAAGAAGTATCAGGACCTTATTCATCCCACCATGGAGTCATCGATTTTTAGCAGTTTGGATCAAAATGAAGTTGTGCTGAATTCGTGGCGGTCATTGAGCATATTCTATGAGTCATTTGTTAGCATGGCTAGTTCAATATGGACACTTCATAAGTTGGCCTTTTCATTTGATCCTGTGGTTGAGATGTTTCAAGTTGAAAGAGGAGTCGATTTTTCAATGGTATTTATGGAAGATGTCACCAAGAGATATAACTTGCCTGGCAAAACTAGGCTGAAAGTGTGTTTCACAGTGGTTCCAGGATTTAAAATTGGAAGGACTGTGATTCAGTCTCGGGTCTATTTAAGTGGGTTGAAATGTACAGGGTAGTTGCTCAAATATTGCCCCATGTAGAGAACTAAGTTATAACAAATCTTCTCTTTATAAAAAAAGATTTTGAAGCAAAGGTTATTTTGGTTTGCATCTTTGGCTGCAATCCTTGAAGGTTACATTATGACACTAGATTCCTAAAGATCAAAGTTTCAGTTTTAGTGGCTGCCTTGATCCTCAAGAAGATACCTACTATGTATACACTTAAAAAAATACTAACCCCGCAGCTGGACTTTGCACCGGGCTCTAGGGAGTGACTGCAGTAAGGCAGCTTCTTGGCTATCTTCTGATACTTAACCACATCTCCAGTTTGTGAATTTCTTTTCTTACGATTCTCATGTGAGTCCAATGTTGAAATGACTGTAAGCATTTTTCCCCATTGCTTTTTGTTCCTTTGACACAAGATAAATACTACTCCAAATGTGTATCCACATAGTTGTTACTTGTACAGTTTGACTTCCTATTATTCCACTTTTAGGTTGTCTTTGATCAAAGCAAATATGTTAAGCAAAATTGCATTGCTATTTTAATGCTGTTGAGTTCTTTAATGGCATTAGGTTGGCATGGATGACCCACTTAGATCATGTCTTCTGGTCGGTTATGGAGATTCTTTCATGGATTTTCTTCAATCAATTGCATTTTATCCTATAACCTCCCTTGCATTTTAAAAAGAAATGTGGTGAAAAACCAGCTAAGGGAACTGGCTTTTGTTTTGTTATTGCTATGCAATCAATGTTGCATCTTACCTTTCTTTGATCTGATGAGATGCAAATAAACTCCATATGTTCTTTTGATGGTAAATTATCTAATTCGAATTACTAATTATGTAAAAGAAATGTGCTTGAACATCAATTTCGCAATAACTAAAGTTATTCTGTAGCTCTAATTTACTAACTTATCTATGGGGCTAAGATTTTGGATTTGCAGAAGTATCAATACAAGTATGGTCTGCTACTCTTCCGCAATATGTACCTCTCACTCCGCATTTACTGAAACTTTGTCACGTTTTCTTGTAATGATCGGTCTGAGACGGTTTTACTTTCTGCACATAATTCGTGTTCTTAATTCAGCTAGACGTTGCAACTTGCAACCATACGAGTGCGAGTGCTTAAATGTTTTCACCCTGGTCTGGATCAGGTCTTTTTATACAATGTCTAAGAGCAATTCTATTACACCAACTAATTATCTGCAGTTTGAAAGCAATGAACTGTAAAAGTCTTACTTGTTACATACTTTTTGATTTTTACTTCTGTCTGGTATTGTTGTACCTGCCTGGCTGTGTTTTTGACTTGTTTATTATTGCTTTCTTTGAACATGGTGTCAAGTGCAACTTCCTTCTCACCAGAAACCACATTTAAGTAAAAGAACCTGTTTTTGTGAGGATGGGGATGAGATTGTTCGTTTGTGATTGTCATGACTCATTCTGTTACTTTAATTCATTGATTTTTACATTTTTTTTATACGAAGGAAACCATAGCTTAAAGCTAGGGGAAAGGATTTCAAATGTTGAGATTTGAATCTCAAATCTGTTAAGTATTATCTTTTAAGGGTGATTGTACAAACTAACTGAGCTAAACTCTGGCTTCATTTTTACATTTGACATACATTATTTTTACCAATGCTCTCACTAAAGATACAACTTCAGTGGACCATCACTCAAATTTTTTAGTAATCGGTGTTTTGACTAATCATGGTAGACATCCTAATTTTGGGATTGTTAATGTATTTGCCTTGCCTTTATGCTTTTGTCTGGTTGTGTCTTCTTTGCTCCAGGTTTTAAGCTCTCTGTGCTACTTGGTTATAGACTTATAAAATTATATATTTATGCTTATTTATTTTGTGTTTAATATGTATATAAAATATGTTAATTATTAAGTCACAATTATATATCAAATACAACACATTTTTTTGTTTTTATCAAATTAATATATTATTTTATTAAAAATTTAAATCGTATTATTTTTATATATTTTTTCATATCATATTATTATATCGTATTTAAAATTATTAAATCTACTTTATACTCGATTATCAGTAAGAATTAAACAGTAAATTACCTTTTTCTCATTGTCCAAATCTTTATCCTGATGATTACCGATTAGTCTAGTGATAAGACCTCTAACCTCGAGTTTAACTAAAGAGGTATTGTTACAAATAGTTCTTAAATTGTAGTAAAATGTTTAATGTGATAAATGAATTATGAATTTTTTAATTAATGTGATATTTTGAAAGTTGCTTGTGTATTATATGCGATCATTTGAAACTAAATACATTAGAGAAGAATATCATATTAGTTAATAAATTTATAATTTATCACATTAAGAGTAGGAATAGCAGCTCAACTCGTCTTCGATAGGTTTCAACCCAATTCGATCTCTTAGGTTTTTTTTTTAAATCAAATTTTGGGTAAGATAATTTTAGAACAAAGTCGAAATCGATTTTAAGTAAACTTGTCCGTTTCAACTTGGTATATATAAATTATTTTTTAATTAATTATTTAATTATATATTTTTATATTTACATTAAAAAATAATATTTTATATTTTAAAAATAATTTTTATTAATTTTGGACTGATTCAAATACGATTTTATATAATATTGGGTTTGATCGAGTTCGAGTATAAAAAATTTTAAAAAATCATCGAGTCAAGTCAAATTAGGTTTAGGACGAACAAAAATTTGTTCCAATCCGATCCATTATCATCTCTAGTTAGGAGTAAATATTATATTAATTACTAAATTTATAATTTAAATATCATATGAGAGATTTTTAAAATTTAAATACTGCATTGAACATTTTGATATAGATTAAAAATCATTCATATCATTAACCCTTAATTAAAAGAGTTTTGATGCAATGAACAAAATCCAACGACTCATAGACAACAACAGATCAAGCCCGCAAGCAAAGCTAGCATCAGCGGAAATTAAAGGCACCCACAAACAGGCCACAAGGCCATTTGCAGCAAGGCAGCTAAAAACTAAAAATTAGACCAGACCCTGTGTGACCACAAACTGAAATTGCCCGACATCAAACCTGCGTTGGAGCAATGTAAGAGAAATATTTGCATATGAAACAAAATGAGATTTTCTATGTAATGGCACCAAAACAAAGGTACCTCAGGTTTAGCTACAGAGAAATCTGATCTGTTCTAACAAATCATAAGCAAAATTCTCTCGCCAAAACACAACTGCTTTCACTGTTTGTGTATTCATAAATCACATCTCTAATAGTTACTTTGAGAGCCAATAGATAATAAGAAACAACGTACAAGCAGCAATTACTGCTGACAGAATAAGAGTGTCTCTTGATCGCCTCCTTCTGATGGAACCTGGAAAGTAGAAGAATTTTAACGAGGAAAGAATAATAGTATGAAGAATAAAAACTCAGCAATAAAGATACACCATGAAGTACCAAGTAAGCCGCGGATGACGGGAAACTTGTCACTTAGAAGTTTTACTTTCCCTTGAACGTCTCCAAACAGAGCTCTTTGAGAGCCCAAGACTGCCCTTGTCGTTTGAGCTTGACTAATCACATCATCTATCTATAAGAAGATAACATCAGGAAAATGGAATGGAAGGCTATCATATTTTTAAGCAACCAAATCCAAACTGATGGAAGGCTATCATGTAAACTGGATGAATGCTTGTTATAGGCAAAATTTTAGGAAATACGGATTTGTTATTTGGTCAAAGCTTTGGGTTTTGAGACTTGAGAAATGTGATTTTGAGTTGACTATGGAGATTTAAATCAGCATTCTCTCCAAACCATTAAGCAAATGGAAAATATAACATCTATTGGCAAAACACATAACGGGAAACTTCTTTTGAAAAATGCTCCAAGATGCATAACAATAAGAGAACATTTAAATCTTACATGAGCAATGCTTCCGTGGATGGCAGCTCGCTCTCTGAGTAACTGCATTCTTGGTGACAAACTCCCAGATGCCTGCATGAAGGCAGATATGGTTATCGTTGGGAAACAACATAGTACTGGCAATGAAGTAACAAAATTAAGAGTTAAAATCGTATAAATACCTTGTACTCACTGATATCATCCTTGACAGAACTCAGAAGCTCTACGTGTTCCCTCATTGAATTTATGTTTCCCTTGATTCTTCTAAATTCCTAACAAAATTTATACCATTACTTCAAAAGGATAGAAAAATTGTTGAAATGATAAACATCCCCAAAAGGCAGCAGTAACTGGGAGTAAAGTTCCTGTGGAACATGGGGTAGACTAGTTTATAGCTGCAATTGAATCAGAGTAGCAAGCACTAAAGAAATCCTAGATTTTGGTTATGTCAGAAGAGCAAATGGACGAGGGGGAACATATTCTATTCAGATATGGAAGACAAGAGAACCATTTGGGGCTTAATTGGATTCTGCTAACTGTGTAACCAGCCACCACGTGTATCTTCCAATCTCTCAATGGTTCAAAAAAGAGGAGATAAGGACAATTTTCTAACGGTAAAACAAAGAACACTTGAAAATCACATGCTATCAAGATACAGTTACCCTTGCTAAGCAATGACCAAAAACCCACCAATCCAACTTTGTTACAAGCTATGCCAGAGCTGTCTCCTAGGAAGCAGCTTTCATGGTGACATTATTTTATACGATGATCAGTTTGAAACCCATGGCCCATAAACATCTTCAGTGACAGAAGCAGAGAAGTATTGAAAGAAAATTTAGTTTCAATGCAGTATCATTCATTTAATAACAGCCAATCAATAAGAAAAGAATTAAAGAGAAACATATACAATGACTAGAATTTAGCAGGCCTATACTAGGCCCTAGAAGAAGGTGAATGCTACATAAAACTCTAATTCCTATATTAGCAGTTAAGTTGAAAATACCAGGATATAGTCCTATTTCTTCGAGGCTCATAATAGTTGGTAATTAAATGTGGAAATCTACTTCTGAAAACAAGTTTAGATAACAATTACAGCATAGTCAACTGAATATACCTGATTAAACTCATGTAGTATGTCTCTATGCCTTGCAAGCTTCTGGGTTACAGAAGTAGTTGGTGCAGCAGATGCAGCACATCTACTCATGGCATCATTTGTGTCCAGCAGTTTCTCAAGCAACGATTGAATTTCCATTTCCATAGACTTCCATGACCTGCTTGACCCAACCGCCGGCGAACCAGTATCTACATAACCTAAATGTAAGTACATATCATCACAAAGGCTATGAATTTCCAAATAGAAGAAATCTAATTAACAATATATATATATATATATATATCTGTTTTGACAAATCCAATCTATTCAGCCATTAGAGTTTGTTCTGTGTTTCAATAGATTTGTTCATAACCAAAAGAAAATCAAAATGAGAATATTAAGAAAAAAAAGTTCTCTGTTTTGACAAATCCCATCTTTTCGGCCATTAGAAGGCAATTTGATCAATTTGATCCGAGCTGACATGTCGAGCTGACCTTAAATTCCTTGATCCATGTCAGCTAGGCCACCTCAGCTAACCACCAGATGGCACATGAGAATGCTGACTTGTCACCCCGATTGGGTTGTAGACTGCCAACTCAGGTCGGGCTGACAATGTCAGCCCTAACCCTCCCACTTGGAGCTTGGGCTACCTAGGCCTAGAACCTTCACCATACAGGTATAAATAACCCCTCTCATGCCCTATTAAACCAATTCAAGTTCTCATATCTACTTTCAAGTTCTCTCTCCTTACTCTCTTTCCAAACACTAACTAGAGCATCAGAACACAAACACCGGAGAACCTTCAGCCTTTGATATTAACCAACCTCCCGTTTTGTGATTTCAGGTCTTTGCCCGCATCAAGACAGCTCGGCACCAACAGCTATGAATTCCCAAAAGGAAGATATCTACTTAACAAAAAAAAAAATTCTCTTTTTTGACCAATCCAATCTATTCAGCCATTAGAGTTTGTTCAGTTTTCCAACAGATTTGTTCATAATTTGAGGAATCAACCAAAAGAAAATCAAAATGCAATCCATATAACAGAAAATAACAATCAAAGGAACAAAATTCCAAAGATAAAATGGAAAATTGAAAAAGGAAGCAGGAAAGGACCAAACCTCCTTGAGTGAACCTAGCACCGATCTTAGCATAAGAAGAGAGTTTGACATCGAGATCACCTTCGATCTTTCGAGCTTCTTTCCTCAGTTCCTCCCAGCCCGATTCTTGTAGATCCAGATTCGGATCCGTCATTCGGATCCCTCCCTCTTCAGTTCTCCTGTTTACTGGCGCTTGATTCTAATGTCGATCCAAAAGTGCAGATTGGTTCAGTTATTACAGTTAGTTAGTAACCCTCTTTCAATTGAACAAATGAAAATGCTGCCGATAAATTAGAAGTTTTTTATTCGGTTTAGATTTTTTTTAAAATTTTGATTTTAATTCAAATTAAATTTAAATATTAAATATTTGAATCAAATTAGATAATTTTTTTATTAAATTGGGATCAAATTTAAAATTAAAAAAAAAACGAATTAGTCCAAATTATATATTTTTAAATATTTTATATTTTTATAAAAAATAATTTTTATATTAAAATTTATTTAAATATATTAAATAAAAAATAAAAACTTTAATTTTAAAAATTAAAAAAACAAAACAAATCAAATTGATATAATTTGATTTAATTCAAATGTATCCAAAATTTGAATTAATTTAAATAATATAAAAAATTGATTTAAATTTAAATTAAATTTTAAAATTTTATAATATTAAATAATATAAAAAATGAATTAAATTCAATTTAATTTAAATCATTATCATCCTTACCATCAAGTGTTTCATTTTGGATTTCGATCCCAACCATATATGAATACTAAGCAAATTCAGGTTTGAATCTGGACTGTTATACTTGAAAATGGACGTATGGATTAGGCCCGAGGGATTTATTTAATCTTATTTCTTTTTTATTTTAATCTTGAAAATGAATTAAAAAGCAAAGAAGACAAAAGAAATCACTTTTTTTCTCCCTCTCTTGGTCTTTGGATACTTTCCTTCGTAAAAAAAAAAAATAAAACATAGTTATATCTTTTAGTAGTTTTTTTAAGGAGTACAATTTAAGAAAATTTTTTATGGTCGATGTGATAATTAATCGGATTAAATTAAATTTGATTATTTTAATTTTAAAAATTAATCTGAATTTAACTAAAATCAATTTAATTTTTTAAAAAATTTATTTATTAATTTATTATTTTTTAATATATTTAAATTATTTTATAATATATATAACATTTATCGAATTTACCTACAATCAATTTGTCCTTTAATTACAGTTGCTATTAGTTTAACTAGAAAAGAATAAAAAATTAAAATCTAAACTTAATTCAATTGATTCAAATAATTAATTTTAAAAATGATATTTAATTAATTTTTTAAATTTTAAATTTTAACATTTAATGTAACTTTTCTCTTAATTTCAATTACAATTCTTTTTTATAATAACATGAACTCGAATTAATAAATATAAAATAAATAATAATTTTTAATTAAATAATTAAAATATATATTTAAACATAAAATTTCAATTAAATTTTGAAACCGTTCAAATAGAATTATTAAACATTTTAAATTTGTTGATTTAATTAAATTAAATTATTCGAATTCGATTTAATAATTAATAATAAATTTAATTTAAAAATTATCTAATGAAATATAAAAAAATTTACCAAATATTAATGTATTATATACATTTCTACATTGTAACAATCGAAGCAAACCGCAGTGATGGAATATCTTTTATCTTTGTTTTACTGTTTTTCAACACTTTTTAAATACCTTTTTCCATTAAAGAAAGAAATATTAATTTCTTTTAAGATACAAGTTATCTCCCATTCCATTCTTTTCAAATATTTTTGAAAATAACATTTGTTACAATGATATTGTACTTTTGTAATTTTTTTGAATTATTTTTATTTCTTTAAAATTTATAAATGTATATATGTTCAAAAAATGGTAAATAAAGGTTTAGTTTTTTTACTTAATATCTATTTGTTGAGGAATTTGTTGAAAGTCAAGTTGGATAATGACCCTGATTTATCACAAAAAAAAAAATCAAAAACAATATTTCAACATATATTTCAATATTTAAAATAGGTAAAATATGAAAAAAAAAAGAGTAAAGAGATAATATATGAGGTTGAAAATTTTTATATCCATATATAATTATTATTAAAATTTACATATATTTTTTAATATTTTATATAATATTTATATCATATCACCGTATCATATTTATACGGAGCGAAATCATTTGGTTGCTATTAATGTCAATATGAAAAAAATGCTAGATTTTGCCATGACTCTAGCTATATTTGCCCTTGATGCCTATAGTCTCATTGCCATTAAAAATGGTATGATCATGTTCATGCTTTTGATTTAAAGTAAAATCAAATTATTTTATTTTTATTAACGACTCATTAATAAAAATTGTCTTAGATTAATAATAATGATAAAAAAATCAAAAATTAAAAGTGTAGCTCATGATTTGTTTATAAATTAGATAATTATCAATAAATTTACTAATAATAATTTTATATCTATTAAAAATATAGATTTTAATATTATAGAAATATTTGAATCTAAACCTTTGATTCAAAAATCAACCAAAAGTAATAAATCTTAGAGATCTCTATTAATTCCAACATGATGATTATTAAAAGATACTACAGAATCTGTTTCTTTTAATAAAAAAATAAAATTTATGAAATTTTTTGCATAAAAAAAAACCTATATTTAAAAATTGCGAAGAAAGTAGTTGCATGAATGCCATCAAAGAAGAAAAATGGTCACAAAAAGAATATTTATTAATGAGAAACTTCACCACCAAAATGCCTTCGGATTGTAAGTGTCTTGTTTCTGGTGCTTCTTTCCTGTTCTTCAATCTCAACTAAAGACCATTGAATTTAAACATCCTAATGTTCAACTTGAGTAATTCAATCACGGCGATAGTAACTGGAGTTTAGATTGCATCAATAATGAACGGAAGACTCCAAACACAGGAAATTCCATGATCAAAAGGGGAACTAAGCAGTAATATTATTGTTTGATCGGGATAACTGTAAATTTATAAGTGTGAATGAACATAATGTTTTACGAATAATTTATAAATAAATTTAAGTTTAATTTGCTAATAAATAATCACGAATAATATTTTAGATTTTGTTTAACTAACGAATTCAGCCGGATTACATTTTTATCGAATTTTAATCTTGTTGAGTATCCAAGGGTTCAACAATTAAGACTCCATACCTGTAAAATCAAGATCTTACAATGAAATGTGAATTATAAAGAAGCCTGTTAAAAGCAATTTTCTTGGCACTCTGCAGGCAATGCAATTACATTTTCGGTCAGCTAAGACTTCATTTGAATATGGGTCCAATATGTTTAACGAGAATCCCTTCAATCGTACAACCAAATGAAGTTTATAGGCCATTAAATTGCCATATTATTTCTTAATTAGCAAGAAAATCCTTGAATGAAGATGAAGATGATGGGTGGGTGCATTGTATATTAAGTTGTGGGTCAAGACTCAAGTTAGGTGTAGTTTTGTGAAGTTTCACTCTTCTTTATTTTGAATCACAAAAGAACTTTCAAATTAAGTAAAACTTATTAAGAATGATTGGTTCTAATAATAATAAAAAAAGTGTACTTCATCCATGGATGGTTAACTTGGATTTCAAATTCTGATAGATAGATTGTGAAAATATAAATTTTTTTATAAATTCATTAATTTTGATATAAATAAATTTATTTAAATGCAATTCAAAACAAAGATATACAAACAGAAACTTCGATAATTTCATACCGTCTAAAATAATTAAATAGAAGTTGGTTTGAGCTTTGTGAAATTCTTTCTACAAACTTCACTATCTACAATCCACATGATGCTAGCTTAGGTTAACATAAATTGAAATCTAAGATATGTAAAGAAAATTCCATGGGAAAGTGGTATTGCCTTCTTTGCAAGTCTGTTTTCTCTGCTTGCCCATGCTCTCACTATTTCTTACTCACATCTTGCTAGATTTTTCCTTTTGTTTTGGTTTTTTATTTTCACAATAATTTTTGATTATTCATATTAGAGCTAATAATTTAAAATACAACATGTTAATATATCACAATATTATACGAAAATAGAATATAAAGATGATACGACATAAAATTATAATAATAATTATATATGAGTTTAATAAAATAAAAAAATTTATATTTTATATTTTCGTGTCAATATAAATTATGATATGTAATTTTTATGTAAAATATGATATAAATATATAAATTTTAATATTTTATATGATATGAATACATGAATTATCAAATCTAATTCATGTCAATGGATTAATAAGGTGCACTTCTAAGTTTTAATCACACATTGCATATAAAAATTTACTATCCAACACTTTCATCAAAATCTATCTTATAGTACAAAACTTTATATTAGGATTTCTTATAAATAAATTATAAGATTCGAATTCAAAATTTAATTAAGTGAACTCATGAACTATTCATCATATCAATAATATGAAAAAATAATTGTAAGTATTAAAATTTAAAATTATTAAATATTATATCATAAAAATAATTATATGAATTAATTGAATTAAATTTTAAATTTTTTATTAATATTTTTATACTAATTTTAACTAATTTCTATAAACATCTATCAAAAGAATTTTCTTTTAGAACATCCACACCACCAACAACAACACCCCCAAATTAAGGGTTTCCCATGGAAATTGTCCATAAATAAAGGAAAATGATATGAATCTTGAGCCCCAATTTCCGAGCCTCCCACAATCAATCAAATTCTTTTTTAATTTTTATTTTTTTTTCAAGAAAATCTTAGCCCCCCTGTTTAACCAAGTCAACAAGATCGACCCATGCCATTAAGAACATTCTTTTTGATTCTTCTTGATCCCACATCACCCAAAATCCAATTCTTTTCTCTCTCTGTCTCATTGCAAAATGTAAAGGACGTATCAAAAGAGAAACTCCACCACCGCCACCAAAACCTCCTCCGTCTCAACCACCATCAGCACCGCCAGCAAAGCAGAGTAATACCCTTTTCTCCAAACCTCGTAAATGTAAAAACAAATGTCTCATCTTGACAACATTCCATCAACACCAGGGAAATTCAAGATGGAAAAGTCACCGTAGGTTCACAGTAGGCTTAGGTGACACTCCTCCATTGTTAAGCTCACATTTTGGCCCTTTGTCTTCTTGGGTCTGATCTTGATCTTCTTCTTTCGATCTCCTTCCTCCAATCCCCTTCCTGAAGACCATTCTCGTCAGTCTCTCCGTACGTACAACTGGGGTGGACCCGCTTGGGGAAAACTGTCCGTTCTTCTGCCCGTGTCCGTTCCCCTGCCCGTGTCCGTTCCCGTAATGGTATCTCCGTTTTGGTTACTGGACCTGTCGGTTTCGTCGGTACCCATGTGTCAGCTGCTTTGAAAAGGAGTGGAGATGGTGTTCTTGGACCTGATAATTTCAATGACTATTATGACCCTTCATTAAAAAGAGCTCGACAAGCGCTTCTGGAACGAAGTGGGGTTTTCATTGTGGAAGGAGACATCAATGATTCGGCTCTTTTAAGGAAACTTTTCGAGGTTGTTGCATTTACCCATGTCATGCATTTGGCTGCTCAAGCTGGTGTCAGGTACGCCATGGAAAATCCTAGCTGTTATGTGCATAGCAATATTGCTGGTCTTGTTAGTTTACTTTAAGTGTGTAAATCTGCCAATCCACAGCCTTCAATTGTGTGGGCTTCTTCGAGTTCTGTCTATGAGCTCAATACCAATGTTCCATTTTCTGAGATTGATAGATCTGATTAGCCTGCTAGTTTATATGCCGCTACTAAGAAAGCTGGTGAAGAGATTGCACGTACTTATAGTCATATATATGGACTTTCTTTAACTGGTTTGAGGTTTTCACCGTTTATGGACCATGGGGAAAGCCGGATATGGTATATTTCTTTTTCACTAGGGAATTTTGAAGGGGAAATCCATACCAATATTTGAGGCTGCTAATCATGTACTGTGGCGAGGGACTTTACCTACATTGATGATATTGTGAAAGGGTGTTTGGCAGCATTGGATACTGCTTGAAAAGAGTACTGGTAGTGGGGGGAAGAAGAGTCCGGCTCAATTGAGGGTATATAATTTGGGGAATACTTCACCTATGCCCGTTTCAGATCTTGTGAGTATCTTGGAGAGGCTTTTGAAGGTTAATGCAAAGAGGAATATTGTGAAGTTGCCGCGAAATGGGGATGTTCAGTTTACGCATGTTAATATTAGCTTGGCTGAGAGGGAGCTTGGATATAAACCCTCAACTGATTTGCAGACTGGATTGAAGAAATTTGTCAGGTGGCATCTCAGTTACTATTCTGGTGGGAGGAAAGCTGCTGGATAATTCATTCTTTGTATTGTGGTAGGATCCTCTGAATTCTAGTTCATTATTATTCTTATCATTGTTTTTAACATTTTTTTCTGTTCATTGCCCTATTTTCGTTATTTCATGTCTTTATTGATGCCATATGAAGAGGGATATCATGTTCTACTTTGAAGAAGTTTTGTGATCAGTGAACATTGTTTGCTAGGCAGCCACATGCTGTATCAAAAGAACACCAGAACGATCTTTTTTGAAGTTTTCCTTTTTCTTTCCCATGGAATGTAATTGTTGTAGTTTGGGCATTGTAGAATTCATAACTGATAGATCATATGCTGATTGGAGGACATGTATCATTGCTATGCAATTCCAATAAAATAGCACACGATAATATGTTCTTTCTTTCCTGTGTGTTCCATGATCCAAGAATCATTCAGGTTAACAATTAGAGCAATCCAGGTCAATTTTTATTCCTTAATAGAAGCAGCTGCTTCAAAGTCATCTTTTGATGTTTTTTTCTTTAGCTGTCCATTGTCATTTATATGATTATATCCTTTCATTAGAAGTGTCTTTATAAGTCTTTAAGGATTGAAAACCTCATGTTATATGATGTGAGCATAATTTATGTAGCCAAATAAAGTTATGTGGATTGCTCATTAAAGGAAAATATGAAACACAGGGTCAGGCACAGCTAAAATTGGGTTTTTCTTTTTTTTATCTAGGAGTTTTTATTGCATCTTTTGGGTTTGAGTTTGATTTGCCATAGTCGATTTGGTCTACTTTCCGTATGATAAATGTTTTTAGACTTCCACTGGCACTGAACAATGAACTTGAAGGAGAGAAACTAGAGGTTCATGAAAGTCTTATGGAGAACTGTTTGAACTTTCAAGATCTTATGGTAGCTTACAATGGGAGTTTTTCGGATTATCCTTCATACTAGCTATTACAGTAGGCAACTGTTTTTCTTTTTGGCTATCAATTATTTTGGATTTGTCCTGTCTTCATATCCACAGTTCACTACTTCACTAGATGAGAGAGTCTATCCTGTGAAAGGTTTTATAGTAGTTCAACTCTCTAATAACAACAAGCCTAAAGTACTAGTTCAAGGATTTTCATAACTCATAAGGTGTTAGTTACCTCAGTTGGCTCATGTGTCTTGCCAAGTGCTCCGAAATAGTAGGCAGGATACTTCATCCCGCATTGAATAGGAAAAGAAAGATCGTTGGACATATAGGTGTTGGTGCTATATACCTCAACAAGCTGGTTTTGCAGGAAAAGGGTGATGTCATGTGACATATGCAGCTATCCTTAAAATGTGGCATTCAACAGGTTTAAAATTCAAATCTCAATATATGCAGTCTTTTAACTTATTTTTATGCCCAAAAAAACTTCCCATGCTGTTGAATTTGCATCCGTAGAGTTGGCTTTGCTTGTCTTTGAGCAAAATGATGATGCTTTAATAAAATGTCTTTGTACATATCTTAGCAACTTAATTTGTCTGGAATATTTAGCTATTTTGGGTAATGGCCAGTATTTCTGGATAAGAAAGGTTTATGAGTGAAGACAGTCACATTCCTGCCATTGTTGGTCTTGAAAATTTTGCTCTTATTGTATCCTTTTGAGGCTTTTGCAGTTGTGCTGTTTTGTTATTCTCAGAAGTCTACTCCACTTTCACTACTTTTCACTATTCACATAGCACAAATCTAGCCCTGACAATATACGGTGATAAAACACGAAAATGATATAAACAAACACGAAGATAGCATGGTTTAAAACAATGAAATTGTGTTCTAAGTGGCCAAGATGACATGTTTCAACAAAATGAACTAATTTATCAGATCAAAGACAGTAGAAAAATTATCATTCATAATCCAATTTTACATTAAAAAAGGTACAGGTTATCTATCTGGCCATGATTCTATCTTCTTCAAGTACTTAACAGGTACAACACCATCAAAACCTAAGTCAAGATCACATTCTTGTCTGAAATGTAAAGCTTCATTCCCTCTGCAGTCATCAATAATAGAACAAGAGAAGAGTGGTAAATGTTCATCTATGACTTGAAACGGCATGAGATCCAGTTATCTTTTTGGTACATAGGAGGCCGCAACTTGAATTCTAAACATATGCTACCTCTTAAAGGTGATCGTACGAACAATCGAGTTAAGTTTCAGATTTAGTTCCAATTATTGCTTAAGTATTATACTCATCATTCATTGACTGCCTGAAACATGTAAGAAGTAACCATGCTTACCTTCCAGATCTTTTCTAACATTAAGGAAGATCAAAATGTCGACATATATTCTGATAACTGAAGAGAAACAAAAGTGCAGATCATCAGAAGCTATCTGCATCATCTAACTTCACTAGAAATGGCTCCATTTCTATCACTACAATTTCCAAATCAGGCTCAACACTAGCTATTATCAGATTAAAAATCTGATTTCAAGATTGGAATCTTATCAATCCTTTAATCATATTTTGCATCAATCCTCAGGTCTGTTGGTGCCGAGCTCTCTTGAAAAAGCAGAAACTTGAAATCGCAAGGTGAGAGATCGGTTAATAGTAAAGGTCAAAGGTTTTTTCAATGTTTTTGTTTTGATGTTCAAGTCAAGTGTTCAGAAAGGGAGTAAAAAGATGAGAAAACTTGAAAGTAGATATGAAAATTTGAATTAATAATATTTAAAGAGATTATTTATATCTGTACGATGAAAACGTCATACCTATGTGGTCTAAGCTTCAAGTGGTAGGATTGGAACTGACATTACTGATCCAACCTAAACTAATAATTAATAACTAAATTAAGAGGTGATAAATCAATATTTTCATGTATCATTTGATAATTAACTGAAATGATTGAATTAACGTGAATTTCGAAATTTCAAACCAATTCAACACGTCAGCTCAAATAAAAAAAAATTGAGTTACAACTATCCAATTAATGACTCAAACTCTGCAATAAAATGTATATCTTGTCTTTTAGACCATGAAATGCTCCCCACAAGGTCAAATGTAGATAATGATCATGGTAGGAGCCAACCAGCTCGGTATGTCAAATCTACTTGCTAAGACCATATGTCAAATCCTCTCCTCCACTGCCAAAGGCCCAATAAAACAAACAAAATTGATAGGTTTGAATTCTCAATGAAAGGTGGGGCACGAAAAAATTACCAAAGTTCGTGTTTGTCTTAAATTATCAAAACTGGTTTGCAAAAATTCTGAACCAAAAGTTATCAAAAATGGCCTTGGGCTTGTATAGGTTTAACATCAATCACAAAATTCCAAATTGTACATGTCTGCTTTGTTAATATCATAGTTTGTCAATAGAAGTATTTATATTTTACATTAAAAAAAATTACTCGACACAATTCATTTCTATACGTATAACATGAAATATATTTTTTGATTTTTCCCTTTTGATAAACACATCAAATTAGAATATATGAATCAACATACTTGTTGATTTGAAAAAAAAAAAGAAATTCTATAGTAAGAACTAAGAACATCCTAGATATTTATTTAAGTGCACAATTTCCTAATTCTCTGTTGGGCTTTAGGCAAATGACCATCCTGCTCATTTGCCTTGTTCTTTTCCTTTCTTTTCGCAGCACTCATTCTGAGCACAATTTGACAAAAATTCTAAATCAACAAGATCCAAGTAAAAACCCACTAAAAACAAGATCAAAACACCAACATTTCAAATGAAAGAAAAAAAAAAATGAAGAAAAATGATTCTCATACACCAAACATAAATTTTTCCCTCCTAAATATCTCAATTTCAAACCGTAAGTGAACTTGTTCTTCAAAAGCATTAATAGCATGTGATAGGCAAAAGTTTAGTCCTGCATATCCAGGAGAAAGTCAATTGAAGCGCCGGACAATGCAAGATGGTTCAAGATGCGCCAGCTCTAAGCCACAAGTGTGTGCTGGCTGTGGTAGACTCACTGCATAAACAAGCATGTTAAGATTTGCAAATTATAACCAGTTGACAATTTTCATGTGTAGATGAAATTTTCTGAAGGAGCATGCCTCTGACCATTCATTAAACATGTAAAGAACATCAAAGGGAAGCAGGGATATAATTACAAATACTCACTATTTCCACACAGGTGGCAGCTTCTTTGTCTTCTTGTAATAGCGGGCAAGTCGGTGGATTCTACTCTCAACCAAGATCAACCTAAACTTGGAATCCTTGTCTTTCCTGTTCCTCTCAAGGTGCTTTCTGATGGCAACAGCTTTCTTAATCAGGTGGTACAGATCCTCAGGAATTTCGGGAGCAAGACCTGACATAAACAAATGGAGGAGTTGAATGTTTTATCTTCAAATCAGAAGGAGAATGAAACAGCAGAGAATGTCAATGAGGTGTAAAATGGGCTTTCAGTATCCGCAAAATCTTGCTGCCGGTAACACTCTTCACCTGAGCAATCCCATGAGAATCACGGAGAATGACACCAATTTGGGACGGGGTCAAACCCTTCTTTGCAAACTTGCAAATGTTCTCCTCAACCTAAATTTAGGATTCCAAATTTCAGCAATGTGAAAAACAAAATATTGAAACATAGCTAAATGCACTATAACTTGAGGTTTATGTCAGAAAAAGAAAGCGGGGTAATGAGTGAAACTACCAAAAACAAGAATCAATGACCGTTAAGATTCCAAATTTCAGCAATATGAAAAACAAATTATTGAAACATAGCTAAATGCATTATCAAACTTAAATAGTAATCATTGAGAAATAGCTCCCACAGCCTTCAATTTTCTCTCAAGCTATCTTTAGATGTTTTACTACTTAAATCATGACAAACTTAATTTTACAAAGCCACCAGTTTAAAATGCATACAACACTACAGATTGACTTTAGATATCAAGCAGAGCATAGCCATGGAATTGCGCTCAACGAGGATAACAACTATTCCCTGTACAAATCATATCAAACATCTGGTTCTTATCTGCCACTATTCTAATCAAACAGCTCTTAAAGATTCAATTATTTCATAACATGGATTAAAAGAGCCTGATTAAAACTAGTCCTGGTAATTGGTGTACTTGTATAGTGTAAAATACTCGTATTTTATATAAAAATTTCGAGTTACAATTCCGTGTGACACAAAAACATGAAATATACATCTTTTTCTCAAACTCATATATGATTTTTACTAAAATTTTAAACCGTATCATTTTCGTATCTTTTTATCGTATCTTTTTCGTGTGGTATCACAGTTCGAGTTTTAAATTACTAGGTCTAATTAAAACAAGTGACTCACATCTTGAGAAGAGATCTTCAACCAACTAGGAGGAGTTCTCTTGTAAGGCAGAGCAGATGCTGAAATACCCTTACTGCACAGAAAGTCAAATCAGTCATTTGAAGCAGCTAGAAGTGATTTCACTGACATAATCATAGGGTTGTTTCAGAGGATAATGAATCAAGTGTGAGAGCAACTACAGACCCTCGGCTGTGCATTCGACCCATGGTGACAGAGTTTCGAGCTTGGCTGCTTAGCTGCTTCTCTTGGTCACTTTGCCTCTACTTCTGAGCAAAGAAATCCTAGAATCAAAATGGAGAATCTGGCTAGGGTTTTATTCTTCTGGTCATTTTCTGGTATTTATTGGGCCTTTTCCCCATTGAAGTGGTCTTGTTTTCAAGTACTTGATTTCGTACAAATTGGTCCAAACCCCATTGAGTTATTGTCTTATAGTGCTATTTTCGAAGAATTAGGGGCTAAGACCCAAACTAACGGTGGAAGATGACCCAAGATAAAAAAGGGCAACTAAGAGTGATAAATGGTTTGTATCGGGTCGAATTAGATTTGTTTTAAATTTTTTTATAATATATAAAATTATAAAATTTTAAATTTATATTTAAATTTGAACTGAATTTTCATACGATTCAATCCAAATTGAATTTTATTGATTTAGTTTATTCATCAGTTTTTTAAATTTAAAATTTTTTTATATACTATTTTAATATGATTTGCATATATTTAAATATATTTAGGTATAAAATAATTATTTTTATTTTATAAAAATTTAAAAAATATATATAAATTAATAAAAATATATAATTCGAAACCCCAATATTTAGTTTTATTTTTTTAAAATTTTTTTACTTTCTGATTTAAAATTTAATCTAAATTTAATATATACATTTAATATCCGACACTTAATCCAAATCAAATAAAAAAAAGATATAAATCAATCTAAACATTACGATTTCAAAATGATTTTCAATTTTTTTTATTTTTTTCACCCAAAAAACATGTCGACACGATACGAAAGTGAATTTAAATTTTGAGAAAAAATCGTACATGACTTTGACAAAAATATAAAAATATATTTCATATTTAATTTATCGACACAAATTATAATAAGATAATCTTCGTAACTTATTTGTCCTAAGTACAAATCCACAAATTGACAGGCAGTAAAATTTGGTGGGAAACGTTGCCGCCAGAAAGACCAACTAGCTTATGGATAAACAATGAGCCGAAAGAACGAGACAAAGCAACCTTACTCCTCAAACAAATATTAATATGTTACTGAAAAAGATTAATTGAAATTACAGTTACAATAATTGAACAGCATACAGTTAAGTTCCAAGCAACTAATCATACATGAAATAAGATCCTTGTTATCTACAACTGAGTTCCAGGCTTTCAGGTTGTAGATTCCAACCTAAACATGACGTCCACAAGGTGTGACCTCAGAGTTGGATGTTGTCGAGCCATCCAACAAAGAATAGATCTCCATAACTTGGGAATGGGATTTGTCATGCACAAAGAATTCATGAACAGTTCCCTCTAGTTCAATCCAACTGCAACCAGGAATTTTCTTCAGATTTCTCGCTTTCATCATCATCCTAACCCTACTAACAGCATTCCACATTCCGCGATCGGCATATATGTTAGATAGAAGAACATAAGAACTTGAATTACAAGAGTCCAGTGTAAATAAATGATTAGCCACCGGTTCTCCAACATCGATGTTTTCATTCTTTTTGCAAGCACTGAGCAGAGCCCTCCAAATCACATCATTGGCTTCAATAGGCATTTCCTCTATAAATTTCTTGCTTCTGCTACCTGCCCTGCCCGGCCAAGATGTCAACCATGCATCCATAATGTTGCAGCTTTGGTTCCATTTGTGAACTCTTCTCATGATATCAAAGCAAATCAGACCTTCCTTCAACAAGCCAGCATGGCCACAAGGCATTCAGCACCCCAATATATGTGATATCATCAGGTTCTACAGAAAGCCTTTCCATCTTCATGAGCAAATTGAAAGCCAATTCACCCAAGCCGATGAATGGCTAACCCACCAATCATAGCATTCCAGTGATCAACACTCTTATCCTCTATACCCTCAAAAACCAAGCATAGCATTCTTTACATTGCCACATTTCGAATACATGTCAATAAGAGCAACACCAAGTTTTCCATCCAAAGAAAACTTGTTTTCCTCTAGATACCGATGTATTACCAACCCTTTTTCAATGTGCCCTGATTGTGCAATTGCTGAGAGAACAATCAACAATGTGGCATTATCAGGCTGCAAATTACCATCCCTTTGCAAATGATAAAATATTTCTAAAGCTTCTGCACAATATCCATTTTGGACATAACCAGCCATCATAGCATTACACATGACAATATCTCTTTCCACCATTTCATCAAACAACCGCCTAGCTAGATCAACCTTACCTAATTTAGCATATCCATTGATCATATTAGCCCAACTGACGACATCCCTTTCGGCATGATATCAAACAAAGCCTGAGCATCTTCCACATTCCCATGCTTTACAACCCGTTAATCATCGAGTTCCACGAAATCAAGTCCCTATACGGCATTTCCTCAAACAATTCCAAAGCCAAATCCATCCCATTTTCCAATTGGGCGTAACCACTAATCATACAATTCCAAGTTATCAAATTCTTATACTCCATTGGCATAAAATCAAACAACTCGCATGCCAAATCAATCATCCCCCGTTTAATATACCCATCAATCATCGAATTATATGAAACGGAGTCCCTCATAGACATATTATCAAACAATTGGCGCGCGTATCCAATAAAACCACAGCGTAAATACAAAGAAATCAAACAATTTTGCAGAAACAAATCAGACCCAAAATTCAGCTTTCTCAACAACCCATGAACCTGCATTCCTTCCTTCATTAAACCCAACCGCGAACACGCTTTAAGTACCAAAGACAAAGAGAACTTATCAAAAGAAACCCCACACTCAAGCATCAAAGAGAGCAGGAGCAAAGCTTGTTCGGGTACGCCATGGGACATATGATTTCTTACAGCGTTCCAAAGAAAAGGGTCCCTGTCTTGTGTCGGGAAAGCGTGGTGCATGAAGAAGACATGGCGAGCAAAGTCGACCAAGGGAGGCAATGGTGAAGGAGAGAAAGCGAGGATGAGTTTGGTGGTGAGAGTGGGCATTGGATGAAACCAGTTGTTATTAAACGGGCGTGGATTTGGTTTACGTCGTCGAGGTTTTGCATTTTGGGAGAAGGAGAGTTGGCTGCGTTGAGTTCCATGGCTGGTTTAGATTCGCACAGAGAAGCATCAACTCCGGTCTGTGAGGTTGGATTCTGCAATCTGTTCATATGATATTTCTGTGTTCAGATTTTATCGTTTTAACGGTTTTCAACTGTTGAAAGTTAAAATCCAGGTGTCATCCACCAGAGATGAACCGGTCGTGTATTAAAACGACATCGTTGGCCAATTTTGTTTGCCCTCGGGGTTAAAAAGGTAAGAGTGAGAAAAAAATCTAAGAAAACAGAAAATTAATTCATAATTGCCTACTTCGATTTAATTCGGAGCGGTTTTTTCTTATTCTATTTGAATTAAATTTAAATATTAAATATATATATATATATTAAATTTGGATTAAGAAGTAAAAAATCAAAAACAAAAAACAACATAATTATATATTTTTATTAGCTTTTATATATTTGTTTAAATTTTTATAAAATAAAAATAATTATTTTACATTTATATTTATTTAAATATATTAAAATTATATTAAAAATAATATATAAAAATAAAAAATTAAATTTAAAAACCATTGAATCAAACCTTATAAAATCAATAAAATTCGATTCGATTCGAATAAGATCACATGAATGTTTGACTTGGATTCGGATTGAACTTTTAAAATTTATAATTTTATACATTATCCAAAAAAATTTGAATCAAATCCAATTTGAACCGGTATTACCCATAGCATCAAAAGCACATAAGCCTTTCACAAAAAAAGAAACAAAAATACTACGATTTAAAATTTTAATAAAAATAAAAAACATAAAAACAACAAGATTTAAAGTTTCAAGAAAAACCATATATTTGTTTGTTAAAAACTAAAAAAATGTATTTTGTGTTTGATATATCGACACGAATTATGACATAATAATTTTATATTTTACAATAAATAAACATAGATATACGAATTACGAAATTTATCCTATTAACCTTGTTTGCGGAGTCATCTCGACTATGGGTTTTTACTTTCACCTAGCTGGTATTCAATGAAACAATATTACTACAATAAGAAAAAATAAAACCCTGCCAACGACTTGTTTATCTAATCTGTAAGCTGATGTGAAAGACCAATTAAAAATAATAAGATGAACACATTATTTTGCAGTAACAAACAAAATTGATAATCCAAATGCATTCTCTATATTTCTAAATCAGTACAACAAATCTACAAGAACTGAATTAATATCACAACATGCAATATTACATTCCATACCTTAAGCCTACTGTTTCTGGATATTTAATTGTCAGCCCATCTGCCACCCACCATTTTCACAACCATATGCTGCTTTCCCTGGTATTCTCTCACTCACTCTTTCCCTACTGTTATTTCTAAACAAAGATGCCTGTGGGAATGAACAGTTAGAAGGCAAAATCAGCTGTGGAGTAATGTACCTGTTAGAATACAAGGGGACAATGCGCAAGGCGTCCGTATCTATGATTACAAGAAAATGATCTACGCGTGGAGGAGGCTTTTAGTTTTTTAGAACTCCTGGGAATCAAAATCAGGCCTTGCTGGATATTCAAGACCCTGAAGTGCTGGCATCCGCCGTAAATCTTCCTCTGAATAAGCTGGAATGAACCAGTATCGCTTGTCTGTTCCGAAAACCTGTATATAGAGAAACACCATAACTTGAGTAAACTGATGACAGTTAACATGCCGGAAAAGCTGTTTTAAGAACAAATTATGGACAATCCAAATGACAAATGCGAGTAAAAGGGATTTAATTGAATTTTAACCAGAAAAATCATCAAATGACCATTATATCAGTGCTTCTTTTATGCAAGAAATGCAAGTAAAGAAACAAGAGAAATTAGCAATGTATTGCAAACACTAGTAAACTAAACCTGTTCAAAATTTTTCTTCCGACCAATGTCATAACGCCATTTTGGAGTAGTTTTCTTCTCATATGCCTGTTCAAAATATGATCACAGATTTTGTCAGTAAATTTCAGTCCATTTATACTGCATTCTAATCTTCAAGAGGGGGAATACACCAAATAATCTGGACGAAAGCTGACGCTGAAAACACCAACTAGTAAACATGGTACTAAAATTCAAGATGAAGAAAATACCTCAATAGTTGTGGTATTAGCAGCCACCAATGATATGTGCATG